GAGGAAGGGGCAAATTAGTGGCCGTTCAGCAGTTGGATGACCAGATAGGTTGGTCATCTCGCAGACGCTATAATATAACGATTAGTTTTCAAGAGAGATTTAGACTCATGTGAAAAATGTGAAAGTCAACTGGACTTGGAGACAAATTTTCTATAAATTGCAGTTAGGACGTCCGAATTGTCCTATCTTCTATAGCCTTACAGCATAAGTTTCTTTTGCAATATACAGGGTCAAAAATACGTGATCACAGGATGAGATACTCCTGCTCGGAACAGACCTAAACCGGTCATATGAGGGAGGAAAGAATGGTGCGAGAAAGCGTCACAGGAACCACGGATATGGCGTTCGAGTCATGGGAACCACGGATATGGCGTTCGAGTATAGACTTCGCCACGGTGTACGACGTAGCATTAGTCAAAACGTACTAAATCAAAAGGGATGAACAGTGATCACGTATTCAAGAGGAGACCGTCGAACACAGAGTGCACTACAATAACCTAAAGAACATAAGAGGTTGCAAAAGTATCCCAATCCCAAGTGAGAGCTGCGTACAGCATAAGCCACTACTTCTAGACCTAAAAATTCCGACTGAACAACAAAGGAAACCTATAACTAACAACAAAGCACGAAGAGTGTTGGAAATCAAAAGGAAATTGGTCAAAGATGCTCTGGTGAGTGCTTATCAGCCTTGTGAACCAAAGCAGTCATGGTCGACCTTGTACCGTAAGGTACATCGGGCGAAGTCAGGAAGAAGAAGAATAAAGAAACTTGGTGGTGGAACGGTGAGGCAAACGGTGATAAAAGAAAAGAGTCAAGCATATAAGTAATGGTATAAGTCGATGTGGGAAAGCGATCGACAGTTGTGCCTAAAAATGGAACACGCTGCAAGAAAATGTGTCAAGAAAGCGAAGAAGGCATACGTAGAAGAGCTACAAAGAAATTGGAATTTTGTGAGGGAGAACGAGATATATACCGAATTAGCGCGAGCAAGGGCAGGGTTCGCAAAAGATATGAAACACTTCTACCGTGTGAACGAAAAGTGGAAAAACGCTGAGAAAACCACAGAAATTAACTGAGAGATAGCTAACGTACTTCGAAAAATGTCGTGTACTATCAGCCACCCACCAGCTGACCCTGGGAAAGGACCAGCAGAGGAAGTATGGCTTGCTACAAAGACAAACGGCAAGGCTTTTGGTCCAGATGGCATACCAAGCGAAAAAGAATACGGATGGTCCGATGCCTCATGGCTTGCAGACCTCTTCAAACAGGTCATCAAAGCTAAGGGCATGCCCCATGGCTGGTCAAAGGGCACAGGTTCTGATATGGAAAAATAATGGCGATATCGCAGGCTGTTCAATATATTGGCCAACCCGGCTGATGAGCCATACCCTACTCCGAAAGAGTACTTGAAAAACGATTTCGAGCGATCATAGAGTTGTCATCCAATCAGTGCGGATTTGTAAAGTGCCCGTACTGCTGACGCCATCCATACTGTACGAATAGCGATGGAGAAGTATAGTGAAAAACGAAGAAAGCTACATGCGGCTTTCTTGGATATGGAGAAAACTTTCGACAAGTCACCCCCTGATGTCATATGGTGAACACTGCGAAGCACATGATCCCAAAAGTACAATAGAGAAACGTGATCTGTCACGGAGCCACAGGCCATGTGGAAACTGCAGGGCATTCAAACCATTCCGCATAAAGACCAGCGTACGTCAGGAATTGGTGCTTTCTCCTCTACTCTTCATCTTATTCATGGACGCAGTGACGGAAGGTTTCAAGCGACAGCCTCCATGTTATCTCTTGTATGCAGACGATGTGGTGTTAATGGCAGAAAACAGAAAAAAGAAGAGTTACAGAGATGAAAGGACCAATTGAGGTCGTACCTTAAAGCTCAACTAAAAGAAGATAAAATATATGGAAGTGGGATGTCAAACTTCAGAATCCATATACATCAGAGATGCCAATCAAGAAACGACCTTCAAGTATGTAGGAAATTGAATCTCTGGCGAAGAGAGGTTTCAAGGTGATATATCTGGGACAAACGGATCGATGAAATGGAGAACCTTCACAAGAGTTCCATGCGACAAACGAATGCCAGTGCAACTAAAAAGAAAATAACCGTACTGCGCTTGGTAGTGAATGTTGGCCCAGTACTCAAAATGAAGAACACAAGCTTAGTGGGAGACAAGAATGCTGCGGTGGCGCTAGATCATTTCTGTAATGGCACAATTAAAGCTAGGATGAAAATTGCTCCCTTCATAAGAAGATGCAGGAGAAACGACTGCGCTGGTACAGGCATGTGAGTAGAGGAGATGAGAAACACGTCACAAGAGTGGCGATGTCTCTGGAAGTTGCTGGAAAAAGACCACAGGGAAGGCCAACGATGAGGTGGATGGACAGAATCAGCACTGCCTGAACTTAGGATAGACGAAAATCATGCCTTGGAAGATACTGGAGACAGTTGACTCGTACAGCAGGCCTTGAGTAAGCGGGAAAATGCAAAAAAAAATACGTGACCACCGTTTGACCGCTACGAATTTTCCTCCAATTTTACAAATTTTCAGGTTTAATGGTTCATTTTAAGAGCTAGCTTGAACCTAAGTTTACACTAAACAGATCCTGTACTTTTTGTTACAGTACAATTACAATACAAAATTGAATGTTGCCTTTCAATCATAGATTATTTGAAAGAAGTGTGAATGTGTGGGAGTCTTGCAAGCGGACCTCG